GCTGAAGACAATACCTCAGAGCCCCAGCGCATGGGATGGCGGCAGCAGTCATGGGCCTCTCCTGGGCCCAAGCCTGAGCCAGAGGAGGAAAGCAAGTGGTGGTGATGGTGGTAGCATCTTCACTTTCCCCCCTTTTTTTAAGTTTTATTTTTTTAAGAGATGGAGTTCCATTTCCACCACCCCACCCCCATGGTCAGAAAATGAGACCCACAGATAGAGCTGAAGATAATGGCAGGTTGCCATGGAAATGTGCATTTAGTCTCTCTGTTTCCATGGCAACTGAAAGACATACCATTCTGTTCCTCTGAAGGATGCCAAAGGTAAATGAGCACTGATTAAAACAGGGGCACAAACTTGGGCTCTAATCAACCACAAAGACTAGGGCCATAAACTCTTATTGCTCAAGCAGGAAATATGAGGAGCCGTACAAGTGCTGGGAAGGCCAGAGGCAGGAAGCACTGCGCACAAACTGCTCCCCACAGGGCGAGGAATCACAGCCTTGGAGTAATGGCCCATCTCACTGTCATGAACAGCTCCGTTTCTGTCCGCAGTTGGATGCTAAACCCACCCCAAGTCCATGATCTACCGAGCTGTTTCCTGGACAGATATCTGCCAGTTGCAGCCTAATCCTGGAAACCACGCTGAGCAAATATATTCCTCAGAACCCAGCAAGATCCAAACTGCACCATTAATCCTCTACCTAGCTCCTAACGGTGCTTGGTTCAAGAATTCATCCTCTTAAAAAAAAAAAAGAGGCAGTAAAAAGATTACCCAAATGGAAAAGTTTGATGCAATACAGGTGGCTGCAGTTCATTCCTGCCAATGCTCTGTCTCCCTGAATTGTGTTTCTTTTTCCAGGCTGGCTGACAGTTATATCAAACACACCATCCAAAGGTTATCCCTTTCTCTGCTGCCAGCCTCTCCAGCAGCTACGGCCCCTTCCAGGAGCACGGTGAATGCTGGTGAGCACTTCAGCTGGTGTGCATGAATACAGGTAAATAGGATGAAGCATCAAAATGGTGCATGTCCTATCACAGCCTCTGCTAACAAACCCGACTGCTGTGGTTGCTACTGGAGAGAACACATGGTTCAGTCCTCAAGAACGTGCTGTAGCAGCTCATCCTGGAAATCCTGCATGCTTGCTGTGAATTTGGTAAACTCCCCTGGCCAGTCCCAGCTAAGGGTGTGAAGTGTGGGGTTTATACCACTCTTTCTCACTTCCAGCTGCCAGTGAATGTTTGAAACGCTTGCAAGACTGAAAACAGTCTTGATATAAAAGCAGTTGCCTCTACAGCGTGGGACACAGACAAGAGAAGCCTTCTTTCATGCACTTCTGCCTTCCTGTTACTGCCTCCTCCACTGTTCAGCAATTCCTCCCCCAGGTGCTGGATTCAGGCAAGCCCTAAGAAGGCAGGAAAATATACCGCTGTAGGGGGGCAGCAGAAGCCCCAGTGAGTGTTATCTGGGGGTACGGGCTCCTTACCCCTAGCAGTCTTCCTGACTCGCCCAACAGCTCTGTACACACAATTTCACCAGGGAGAGGACTGAGCTTAGCAAACTTTTGCAGATTAAAGTTTTGGGGTGAGGGCCAGTTGTTCCCCTAACATCCACCCTAGGCTGGCCCTCAGTCTTATAGGAGCCACTCACCCCCAAATGCTCTTTGTAGCAAGCAACGCCACACAGTCCACCAAGGAAAGCGTGGTATCCTCATGCATATCCCCAGAACATGAGAAAAGGGGCATGACAAAAGTCTGCCATTTCTCTACCACTGCCTGGCTTGAAGCTTGGTAGAGGGACCCACAGTAAACAGGTGATGGTAGATACCCAGTCTGAAGAACTGAGCCAGAGTTACAGGCTGAGGACGCGCTGGTCATCTACTAACAAGTCCCTGCAGAGCTCCAGTAAGCCCTCACCAAGGTGGGGATTTCTATTTTGCCCTCTTCCACCCGCCTGTCAGTGACACTGATGATTGTGCCCTTTTCCCTTGAAGTTTCATCTTCACGTAGGTTTCCATAAATATCTTTCTTGATCATTCATTCCTTGTCAGGTGGGTGAACTGAGAGAATTCTCCTTCTTCATGTGGGAGCAGAGAAAGATTTTCCACTGCAGTTTCTCATTTGCAATGAGGCAAAGGCGGCACATGCAGCTCCATACTCTTGCTTTTTCTCGGTGTTTCCGTACAAGGGTTCCCATCTATCCCACACTGTAGGCATCGCACAGGCGTGCCTTGGCAGTCCCTCACAGCCCAGGCAGAACCGAATCCCCCATCTAATCCTCTGCACCCTTCTTTCTGCACCTCTGGTCTTACCCCACAGCCTACTGTGTGGTGTCATCTTTGCCCCCTAGGCTATTCAGTGTACAAACCCTGACAGGCTGTTTTTTTCTTCCATAGAAGACAGAATTGAGACTGTTCTGCCTACACAGCCCAAATTCACCAAGCTTGTCTTCACTCCCCTCTGCTAACATGACCCCCTTTGCTGAATTCCTACACATAGACAGAAGTTTTCAATTTCTGGTGGACTGACAAGACTTTTTTTTAAGAGTCAAGACCCTGGAGGTGACAGACAGCTCTTTGCACTCGTTCCCTCTTGGGACCTGGAAGACTGGTAGCTTTGGCCAGTGGATTAGGGCTGCTCCCAGGAGACAGGACTAGGCCATACACAGCTGTATACAACGTTGTACAGCTGGAACCGCCCCAGCTCCTAGCAGTTTCTCTGATCTCCAGACTGCACTACCAGATGAACTCAGCTCCAGCCTTCCTCCAAAACAGGCAGCTGTAAAGAAACTTTTTCTCTTGCCTAGGTCCTGCATGAAGCACACCCAACCTCACTCCAAACAGAAGTCTAAATACCTGTACACGTCCAGAGCAGCGACTCCCGAGGAGTAAGGGGTCCACCTAGCGCAGTTAGAGCGGTACTGCCAGGACCGCAGGCACAGCGAGCACACAAAGCTTCCCACTCAGCCCGGCAACTGGTGCGGACCCAAAGCCTCATCCTCTCTACAGTCCCTGGCAGGGAGGAGGCAAATCCTCTGAGATAGGGGGCACTCACACGGACAGCACTTGCTTGATGGACTTCATCAGTGCAGTGAGTGAAGGCAGGTAGAACCTGGCCAGGTTGAACAGACACAGCAGTTACATCTGGTGAGAACAGTAATCCAAGGTGAAGGCTGCATGCTTGCAGGGGCTGAGGGCAGGCTTCAGTTTAGGAAGAAAGGCTTGGTAGTTGCTGGTTTGCTGCCTCCTCAGCTCTACTGCTGCACTTTTATTCCCCATAAAAGATGCCAAGAGACTTGACCAAGGTCAGACTGTGTGAAGTGGATCAATGGATCTGTACTTTCTGGTTCAGAATGCAATTCCTCCCACGAACTGTCCAGTTATCCCACCTGAAAGAAATTGAGTTTATCTAATCTCTTCTACCTGCACAAGCATTTATATCTTACACTTTTCTAAGGCAGTTCTGGCTGGCATCACATTCAAGACCTAGGAGCATAAGGGTAAGGCCAAAACATCCTGCAGAGGTTTAGATTAGTCTTTTAATTACATCCTTTTACAAAATGGGACAGCGCTGCATCCCACTTCCTCTGACAGCAAAATAACCGGGTAGAACTTGTCGACTACAGGAAACTGAAACAAAGGGCTAAACCAAAAGAGCTGTTGCTCCAAATGCCATCCATTCCCCCATGTGACAAAGTCAAAGCAGAGAACGTATCAACTCCTGTAACAGCTATGGATGAAACTGAAACTTGCTGGCTATCAACTCTGAGCACTAGAAATCAACAGGCAAATCAGTGCTGTGCGTAGGTGCTGCTGATTAGTTTAAGGCAGGCATTTGGAAAGCTTAACAACAAAAATGCCTCGGGCACAGAGTCTTAAAAGGCTTAAGTCTTAAAAGGTTTGATAAATAAGCTATTATTGAGACCAAAGTCATGCAGAGCTCCCAGATTCATGTGAAAGACTCGAGTCTTAGACAATTTGGTTATGATCAGATAAAACACAAGAGAGGAAACAAAAATAGCTTCTCCGTCTCTCCTTTCACCCAGAAGCAGGTGAATCATTTTGATTTAAAACTCATCTAGTGGCAGATAAAAAGCTATGGAAAACAACTGATCAAAAGGACGATATCCTGGAAACTTCTAGATTTCCCATTCCATGAGAGATTCAGAATGGAAAGGAGCCATTTCATTACTTCATCAAACCAGGCACAAGTTAGACAGTTATTAAATGGTGATGCAAGTTATGGGAAAGATTCTCAGACAACTAGAGTCAAAAGGACTTGAGGACCCTTAAATTGTACTCTAAATCCTCCTCTGCCTGTGGCACCCGAGCCTCCCCTCTTGCTGGCAAGGGAAGGCAGCAGAGACACTATGAAACTCGAGAGTCTGTATGATGTAGAATTCCTAGTCGGGTTTAGGAACAGCCTAAAATAGCACTGGGGGACGGAGGGCTGTGTATTTTATTTTTACATAAATATACACAACCTTTAGAAAAAAAAAAATAAATAAGCTATTAATTTAGCTTCACTTACTCTGAACAAGTAAAAACTTTCATCCCAGAGACTGACAGCAAAACCACTGCAGGTTCCTGGGACCAAGAGAAGCTGCTGGGCAAGATAACTGCAAAGTATCTGGAAAAGCCCACTGTGAGTTTGGGAGTGGAGAGCCAGCAACACTGGGAGGTGTACGGGATAGAAACTCAAAGTTCCATTCAGCTGGAAGACAAGGGATAGGCAACAGCAGCCTGCAAGAACTCAGACTCTACCCACATGGGAATGCATGAGCAATGCCAATCATTCTCAAAGACTTTTCTTTTTTAGTAAGAACTTTCAATAAACACACACACATATGTACAGCCATCTCTTGCAGAGAGAAGTTAAGTGGTTCTGCATTCAGGACAAGGTAGGCAAGTCGGCAGCACCTGGCTGGTGGTTCACAAGGCGCTGAAGATGCTTCTGTGCGTGCTCATGGCTACTTCATGTTTCTGAATGGAAGGCAAACAAGTCTTGGAGATAGGCTCAGTGCAGTCACATAGCTGGAGTAATGTGTAACAGCTGTGTTATGAGGTGAGGGAGATGAGAGGGAGCAGCTGGAGAAAGAACAAGTAACAACTCTCTGAAGATTGTCAGGAGGTGTCTGCAGACAGTGTCCATCCGTGGGAAGTCCAGTCAGAATTTGACAGAGAATGAAGTCCCACATGAGCAACCCTTCTCTGCCTGTGGGTTGCTCACCACCTGGAAAGAGCTGCGAATCAGCTCCTGACTGAAGTCCACCATGGAACCTTTCACGAAGGCCAGGCTGTCCACATCTACAACCACACGGGCACCACCTTGTTCAAACACCCTGCAGAAAAGCAGCATATTTAACCATTAACTGTGTTGCACACCTGACAGAGAAGCACAGCTTGAGCACTTTCCTTATCTCACAGGCTCCTTCCCTTCAATTCAAAATACTATCATGTCACGCACACCCCTCTTGTTACCTTTGCAAAGAGCAGTGACACCCAACCACCACTACACTCCTTTGTCCTTGCCTGTCATCAGGATTGATTACTGTGTCCAAGGAAAACTTGTATTGGAACCCAGAGCAGCCACCTCCTTCCACCTGCAGCCTGAGAAACTCTGCACCTTCTGTGATCTCCAGCAATCTCTGCAAAGAAGAGGAAGACAAATAAAAGACCCACTGAGCAAAACAGCAAACACTCAAAACATCTTCCCTATGCGCCCAGGGCAGGCCAGGCAATTTGCAGTACCTCCCAGAGACACCCGAGGTACCTCCCAGGGTCCCTACCTTCACGCAGCTCTCGCTGAGGAAGATCTGTCCCTCGCTGGGATCACTCTCCGTCGGGCCCGGCTGGGAGAAGGACGATGCCCACCGCAGCGGGCGCCCAACTGCACAGACAGGACCCGGCGGGGGCCTCGGCAGCGCTCGTCCTCGGCACAGCGG